GTCTGGTGATGTGAGTCTTATAAGGCAGTGCAATCCTCCAATAATTGGAAAGATATTTCAAACCTCTGAACCGTCCATGTGAGTCATTAAGGTTCAAACACCTGTGATCTATTCCTTTGAAATAATTAGGTTCAGAAAAAGGGTTAAGAAGTGCTGGCCTGGGGGAGGAGCAGACACTTTAACACATGTCTAGGATGTGTCATGTGAGTGCCAACTGCATGCTGCAAAAAGAACCCAAGAAAGGAACAAATCACCTTGGAGAAGGGCCTCCAAAGGACTGCAAGAAGATTCCTTTCTGTCCTGGGTCTTAAAGTAGGAATATAATTGGCCCAGGGCATTTCAAGCACCAGTAACAGCATGTGAAAGTTACTGGGGGGGAAACATGACCCTTTGGGAGAAGACCAAACAATCTGGAGTGGCCAGGACGCGGGGCTTTGCAGATGAGTGGAGAAAAAGACGTAGTGGTCAGAAACAATGCTGAGCATGTTCTGGGGTCCTGTGGAGGAGGTACACTCCCATCAACTCAGTAGTTCCATCCACCTTGTAGGAAAATGAGCAACGGAGGTAGGACTGTGAGTGTGAGTGTGTGGGTGTCCTCATCGAGGAAATAAAAGTAGAGAGCATGGGAGTGATAAAGGATACATATTTTGCTTTTATAGAAAGTTATGCAACATTTACTTAGATGTGTGGACAAACTAATTACATGTACTTATATGGGTCTTATTTGAACTACCATCATCCCTCTGATCCTAGGACTGGTGTAGCTCTCTAAGTCACAGTCAGGTCAGGCTCTCTTTTTTGCCGTTTCTGCTTCAGGAAAGTCTGCTTCCCTCCTGATTTCCCATTTTCAGACCATATGTAGGTTCTCTATACAGAGAGAAGTCTGGTGGGAGTATGGAAGTGGGAGATGAGTAGAGGTGGGAATGAGACAGTCTGGAAAAGAGTGACTAGGGCCTGCAAAGTGGAGGGCACTGATTACATTTGTCCCAGAGGCACCAAAGGAGAGAACTAGGATCCAGTGATACAAACAGAAGTCTGACAGTCTGAGTTGCCTAAAGATGAAACAGAGCATCCTGATTTGTCATTGTATATTGTTAGACAAACTAGAAGGTCATTTGGCAGTGAGGGGATTTGAAAGGTTTATTAGTTATCTATTGCTGCATAAATTACCACGAAATATAGTGGTTCAAAACAACAAACATTTATTATCTCAGTTACTGTGAGTGAGGAATTAAGGAATGGCTTTGTTGAGTGGTTCTTTCCCACGATTTCTTATGAGATTTCAATCAAGGCATCTGCCCAGGGCTGCAGTCAGCTGAAGGCTCACACTCAGAGATTCCATGCCTCACGAACTGTTGGAAGGAGGTCACACTTTTTTGCCACTTACTGCTTGACTGTCCTCACAACATGGCTGTTGGCCTTTCCCAGAGTAAGTGATCCAACAGCAAGAGCAAGAAGGAAGCCACAATGCCTTTGTTGACCTCTCCTCAGAAGTCGCACGCTGTCACTTTGCCATATTTTTATGTGAAGGGAATCTCAAGGGGAGAGAAATTAAGTTCCACCTCTTGCCAACAATTTATGGGTAAAGCACATGTGACAAGGCCACACAAGATGACTTTGAGGATTCCTTCATACCTGAGGTTCTCTAGCTCGATTCATGAACCAATAAAGGGAAGACAGATGGTGAAAGTGCCATACCTGAGTTCATCCCACCCTGAAGGGGCCCACTGGGGCTCTTGTCACTGATGTATCAGTGAAGAGGAGGGCTCGGTAATGTCATTCTGGGTACTCTATCAAGTGGCCGTGGGATTTAATTGAAACTGCTCTTGTAGTGTGATAAAAACACCATTTATAATTTTCAGAAAAGAGAGTAGGCACAGAAAAAGCTGAAGTTAGAGACTGATTATTCTATTCTTCGGACAAAAAGTAATTCAACAATATACAGCAGTTAATTTTAATTTTGGGCCTTATTTTGTTTTATTTGGGTGTGTAGGAAAGACTTCTGAGAAGTCTTGGTTAATAGATATTAAGAAGCTATGAGTTTTATGAAGCAGTAAATGAGAAGTCATGGTCCTAACAGGAAGCAAATGAAGTTGTGGCCTGATCTGGGGCAACCGATGGGATACAACACAGGAGCATCCACCTGAGCTCTATGTTGGAATATTCTCCTTCCGGAGGCAGAAGTTTATGACAGACACGTCCCTTATGGGTACAATCCTCAATTACCAGAACCTGCAGTGAATAATATTTACACAATCTTGATGCTGTCAATGCTGATTACTAATTGGCAGTGTTCAGAATCAATCTCTAATCAAAGACTCAAGTAGAAACAAGAATAGCTATAGGACAGAATGCAAATGTTAATAACCATGACAATAATGGTATGATTGCTAGAGGTTGAGGTAGGGTTGGGGGTGAGGGAAGGAGAGAAAAAGGAAAGTAGTGCATGAACTTTCCTAACTTACATAGTCTAAGGGGTGAGGGATAGTTGATAAGAGATTATATAAAGTTGACAAATCAAGAAATAGTGTGTTAAAGTAGCAATAAGATTAAAATATATAATTTCAAGTTAGAGTAGAATTCTAACAAAAGTCAGGATGAAAGGGGAATGGAAAGTGGTGTGAGCGATGCTCTTAATTTTTTCCCCCCCAAAGAGGCATAAATTACTGACTAATCCAGAAATAGCAGCATGAATACATTCCACAGAGTTGAAGGTGTTTCCCATGAGAGTAACCAGAACGAGAGACTCCTGGCTCTGGGAATGGGGTGGCAAAAGTGACTCACTTCTCCTTTCCTGTCCTTCCGAACCATGCTTGCTTTCTTACTATATACTGAATATACATAACTTTTTTAAAGCAAAAAAATGTAAAAATCCATGTAGTTTGTAGAATCTATAAGTCAATACTAGTATTCACTGGGTTTTAGTAGATAAACCTCACGAATATCAATCCACCTAGTTCACTTTAACAAATGGCAAGATTTCACTTATTTCATAAATTGACACTACATTTCATTCTTCTTGAGGCAAAGAGTAGAAATCAGCTTACAAATTACTAACTTGCTGATAAAAACTACTTAACATAAGCAAACATTCTATGACTTTTAAAATATTCATTTCTATACTATACCACCAAAAATACCTTACAATTTTCAGGATTAACTCTACTAGCAGGAGTCCAGGCTCAGTAAAGAACTGGACCTCTGTCCCAGGATCTGTTCCTGAAGCAGTTTTAGTAGCTGCCTTCCTGCCTTCCCATACTAGGGCTTGCTCTGAGTTCTTCTGGAAGGCCCAGGTACATCCTCTGCATACTCTAACAGGGAATTGCCCACTACCTAACTGGGAAAGGTACTCAAAGGGTTCACAGCAACGATTACAATACCCAAGGAGCAAATGGCTAGCATGCCTTGGTTTAATAAAAGGTGGCCATTTAAAAAAACCAAACATTTCCTGGAAGCAATGTCAGTACCAAGTACAATGGGTAGAAGGAGAGAATCCAACAAGAAAAGCAATGCGGTTGGTGGTCAGGATCCAGGTGGAGACAGAGCCCTTCATGTAAAAGTACAGTTTTTCCTTTGAGGAATGAGGGGAGAGATTCTATGAAAGCTCTTTGGGCTTCTAGAGAAAAAATACTTTTTACACTCATAGGAAATGCTCAGTCTTCTATTTTATGCTCAAAGAACCTCAGGCTATGAAGAGACTTGTCCTATAGCAATTTACAACAATCATACAACATAGATCAGGAACCACCCATACTTTCTACAAGGAAATTTATACAAAGGGCACAGCTCCTGTGAATCACCTAACTGCTTATATAAAAATACCTAGAGAAAATGGATAAATACACACTGGAATATCCATATAATGAAGTACTATACAACAATGGAAATGAAGAAACTACCGACACGTATAATAACATGGATGAATCTAACAGGCTTAAGGTTGACTGAACACATCAGACACAAATAGTACACATTCCATGATTCCATTTATATAAAATATAAAACCAAGCAAAACTAACCACGATGTTAGAAGTCAGCATAGTGGTTAACCTTGGAGGGGGGAGAGGCTGGGAGGGGTTACCAGGGGTCTGTTGGGGTTGTAGTCAGGTTCTATTTTTCATCTGGGTACCACTTACATGGGTGGGTCTGCTTTGTAATAATTAGTCTAGCAGTTGCAGCTATGATGTGTGCGCTTTTCTGAATGTATGTACACTTCAACTTAAAAGTCAATTAAAAAAATAACATACAGGGTCCCCTGCTAGTTTATGTGGTACCTTTATGCAGATTTTTTTAAATGCCCTCCCCGGATGAGTGAATTAGGAAAAGGCACCCCAGAGGTGCAGAGGTAGTCGTACAAGTTTGGGCTGTGGCAGGTGGAGGGCAGGCTGGGTTTTAACCCCACTGATGCACTTGGCTAGACACAAAATCACACATCTGGATGAACATCTGCAAATCTGAAAAAACACTCATTTGGCCCTTCCTCACCACCACTTTATGAGAAGGACATGGCAGACGTCCTCATTTTACAGATGTGGAGGTGACACAGGACAGTAAGACTGATGCGTGAAGGTGCCATAGCCAATAAGCGATGGAGCTGGGATGGATTTCTAGGCCAGTGATCCATGGTTCTGATTCCTTTTTGGGAGGGAGCCCAGGGAGAAGTGCTCTGTGTTACTGTGTGTACTGTTATGGGTCATCTCAGATGTTTCATGAAATAAGGCAGAGGGTAAATACATGGTCCAATATTCTTAATACTGAGCTTAGTGAAGGTCCTCGGTTGTGAGCCCATTTGGAAAATATGCTCTGAGCACAGACTCAGAAGTAAACATTCATCTTTTAGATGTTTATCTATGCAGAAAGATCAGTAGAACAGAGACCTTTACATGTCAACAGAGCATCCTGGCCCTCCCATAGCTTATTGACTTAAGGATATAAGTTTTTCCACATCCTGAAAAAACTGAAAGGGAAAGACATGCACGCACTGTTTGTGTCCAGCTTACCTAGAAGAGTCTGCTTATTCCGGGAGGAGCTGGGCTCCGCGGAACATCTGCAGGATCGGAGAACAATCACCCCTCCGAGCACGCCGTCTTCACTGGCCAGGAAAGGTGAACCTACGCAGAGATGGCAGAGATCATTTCTCAGTTAATTTTGCTATTTTCAGTTGATTACTAGAACAAAAATGCAGTATCAATAAGATCTTGAACGATACCCACTTCCTGACAGTCACCTTCTTGCTACCTTGTACAGGCTTGATAGCAAAGGCAGGCTGATGCCTGAACAGGGGTCATTTGGCAAAGACAGTGCCAGATGCTGCCAAGATGACTTGAGTGAGGGTGGGGTGCGCATTACTGTGGGGTTCAGAATGGAACCGGAAACACTACCAGATTAAAGGACCAAATACAAATACAGAAGAAAACGCTCAGCAACTCCCTTTGATCAGCTCTTAGGGATCGCTTACCAGGCTCTCCCTGCTGTCAGGGGCATGCCACCAAAGCTTTGATTTTGTACCTTAAATTCAATTTTAAACAATAAGCCACAAATTTCATTACAAACATGTTAAAACACTCCCAAAGGTTTACACAAACAAGGGTGAAACTGTATTTCTACTGAGTCCAGTGGTTGGAAATGACCGGTCTCTGAGTGCTCTCACACCCTGAGCCGCCATGAGCGTTTCGAGAACACCAGTTAGATGTGCCCTTCCCAAGGACATCTTCAAACACCTGGCACAGAGAGTGAGCACGTGAACCCAAGTGCTGTCAGAGAAATTAGTAAAAATAAAAGCCACCAAGTTGGATTTGGGAGGAGCCTGGTTAAACTCAGTAGATTAAGCGCATGCCTTTATCTCCACGCCTTCCTCAAATCCCAGTCAGCTGAGGGGAAAGGAAGAAAAGACGAGGCCCAATAAGGGCAGAGAGAAAGACAAGGAAAAACTGACCTTTCAGAAAATGGAGAGAAAACGGACAAGTAGTTGCTCACTGAGCAGACCTGTGAACATTGAAACCTAAGCTTCCCAGCGGAGGAGAGGTTGGCCAGAGTGAGGGGACATCTATAGGAAACCACCCAGTTTTGTCATAAAACCCAAATAGCACCAGAAATTGGAGGCTTCAAGTTCCCCTGAAGGCAGGAGTGCGGGATGGGGCTGAAGTGAAGATGGGTGGCTGAGTGTGCCCAAAAGAACCCTGGGTTCCTTATAACACATCCAGGCGCGAGCTCTTCCCTTTCCAGTGACTCAGCACTCAAACCATGTCAAATCCTGTCTCTGCCCCTCGCTCCACTCACAATACTCACAGGGCACTCACTGTGCTGAGCACACGGCAGCAGGCTTTGTTCTGGCCTCCCTGCTCCAGTCATTCAAATCCCTACATTTATTAATTCAATAACTACGTACTGTGTGTCAGAACTGTTCTAGGTATTGGTGATATGGCAGTGAGCAAAATGAAGTCCCTGTTCACATCCAGTTGAGCAGGCCGGGGGACAAGTAACGAACTCACAAATTAATAAAGAAATGCATCCAGACGGTAGTAAGTGTGCTAAGAAAATGAGTCTTGGTAAACAATGGGGGGGG